TCCTTTCTCTTTATGCAATGCCCTGTACACTAGGAAAGTTAAACTTTTGGGGGACTTTGAGGAGCGCTCAAGTCCCTTTTCTTAGAAAAGTGCATGTACATTGCAAATTTTGTGTACAGCTTTGGGGATTTCAAACTCCAGGAAATAGATACATGAATACTAGGTAGAGAACCCTTTCTTATGCCTTTGGTTCATGTTTGCATGCAAAAGGAACAGTGCCCCAGTATTTATACTTAGGCAAACTCATGGAGAGAGACACTTGAAGCAGAAGCCCTAGATCTGTCCTCTCTTCCTCCCTCGCTTCCTTTTTGTATATTAAATCTTAATTAGATAATAGGAATAAATTTATGTAAGTCTAAGACTCTTCCTACTACTATTCCCACTACTAGTCCCTCCAGTCATTGCTTCTAGTCTTTTACATACATATGTATCACCCATAAAAATGAATAGTTTTATGCTTTTTAAATAAATGATATAGTATGCATTGTTTTGCAACTTTTAAAAAATTCAACGTTGTGTCTCATTCTTTTTATTTGCTATATCAGATCCCATTTGTTAATTCCATAGTTTATTTGGCCACCCACTATTGATGGATGTTTAGGATGTTTCCCGTTTTTCAGTATTATAAGCAGTGCTGCAATAAATATTGTTTTTCATACCTCCCTCGCCCATGTTAGTGCTTCTCAAGGGGAGAAAGTGAAAAATGGACTTGCTAGGCATGTGATTTCAAAGTAGCTTTATTATATTATATCAGCAACATATGAAAATGCCCAGCCTGCCCAAAGTCTCTCATCACTCGGTATTATCAAATCAAAACTTTTTTTTCAGTGTGATGGATAAGAAATGATATGATAATTACAAGTAAGTTAGAGCATCTTTTACATCTTTTCATATGTGTATTAGCCGTTTCACATTTCTGTTATGTTCATATCCTTTGTTGGGATTTTTTTTACGCTTATTTGGCTTTTTCTTATTTATAGGAATCCCTTATGTATTTTCGCATTATTCTTGATACCAACCTCTTCTCTTGTATATGTTATAAATCTTTTTCATTTAGATCTTTTTGATCCTGGTTTTGCTACTGACTAGCTCTGTGATTTGGTGGACATCATTTGACTTCCACAGAACCATTTCTCTCTATTGTACAGTGTGAATACACTACCTTTTAGTTATTGTGTTACTGTGTAATGCTAGTTAAACAGTGTATGGGCTCTGTGATTTGGGGGTTTCTCATTTGATTTTCACCAGCCATTTTTCCCAGCTGTAAAGTGAGAATTTTTGGTTTATTGTGAAATGCTAATGAAAGAGCATATGAAAGTGCTTTGGAGAATAAAGAATACCTTCAAATGTAGGCATTTTGTCCTTTCTTTGGCTTTATTATGATTCATCCCTAGGAGTTGGCTTTTATGAAGCATCCCCCATCTCCATAGATGGAGCAAACTTTGAGGGGTGTTACACAACATAGCACTTGTCGTTTTAATCTACACTCTTCCTTGGGGGGGAAAGAGGTACATAAACAAGATAGGCTCACATTGAGCTCCTGTGTTCTTGGAATGCATTGTGTGGAATGGAGGTGAGGAAGAGCCGTATCAGGTGAATCACACTTCTTCACTCACAGTGCTTCCCCCAAGGACTGACATAGCGTAATCTGGCCATTTATGGAACCAAATGTCTACAAGGTTAGAATTCGTCTAACTTCTCAATTAGAACACAGGTTTCAGAGGCAACTCTTCCATTCCACCACAGTAGGGAACTCTGAAAGTGTCATCTATCCCAGTTACCTTTTGACTGATGACTGCCCTCTGCAAACAAATAATTAACTAAAACATGATACTACCTGATGGTTTGGGGCCACTCATACTCAAATACCACCTTAGACCTAGACCACCCTGTGCCCCTGCCCTATGCTTTTGAGGGTCTTTCCTTTGGCCATGCCTGCCCCCCTTTTAGACCACTCTCCAAGTATCCAGGACCCAAGAATTACCTGATGAAATGTCCTGACCCTGTGTCCAGGGCCTGCAGAGGCTCTTTCTGAGCCCATCCTCCCAAAGGTGGACCAAACCATTAGACCCCGCCCCTGATATGCGCATTTGTAGGACCCAGGTGTGGCCAAGGCGACTGTTTGAGAGAGATGTGCCCAGAGCTTGGGTGTATTACCTTGAACATCTGTGTACAACGCTCCTTGAGGTGCAGGAAGGGACTGGGGTGTGAGAAAAGAAAGGAAGTGGCTTTGGGGCCAGGGTTGTCCATTTGTACTCTTACCCAGCCCTGCCACTGTCAGAGGAGGGTCTGCCCAGCGGACCCTCTCCCTTCTGACTAACTGCTTATTTGGGGGAGAGGGGTTACAAAAGCCATTGGGGAAGGTTTTTTCACCACCCGTTTAGAGGCTGGCTCAATACAGACCCCAATTACCTCTGAGAATATTCTCGAAGAGAGAAGGGTGGGGAGGTAGAATGGGTGAATTTCCTGAAGGAAGAGTCTCTGTGCCTCTCCTCTGTCACTCCCCTGGGTAGGCAGTGCTGCGGATGCTTTGTAAAAAGGAGGAAGGATTCTGCTGACACACTGTTTTTATGAAAGAAGGCTAAGGGTTCCCTTATCTCTCCACACAAGGCACATCTGCCTGCAAACAGGCTGTCTGCTTCTTAGGGATTCCTTCGTCGTCCTGTTTCTCTTCTGAATGTTTTAAGACACACATTTTGGTGCATTCCTTTCTGTTCTCTAGAGCCAGGGGGAAAGTCGTAATATGTCAAAGGCTCTTGCTGAAGAGCTTAAAATGGGTGCTGGCAGCTGGGATGTGGGGGAAAAGAGTTTTCCAGGGACAAGTGACCTGCTTGTTCCAGCCAATGAGAAGCAGGTTAGAGGAATGATATCACCAGACAGTCTTTATTGTCTGATCATCTCATAAAAGCAGGATTGTGTCTGGCAATTTAACCCTTTTTTAGGTACTTTGGGTCTCATGCACTCCCCTGGTTTGTGACCTCCAGATTCCTTTTCCCACCTGTCTGCTGTGAGACCAGAGATGAAAGATTTAGATTGGTGAAGAAATTTGGAAAGTTGTCATCATTTTAAAAGTAAAACTAAAAATACAAATTATTAAAATTTAGAACCACAGTTAGGATGGGAATGTCAGCTAAGCTGTGTTTGGAGAGCACATCTAAAGCAGATATCGGTCTTAGGTTACATCAGACTTTTACTGTGTAGACTTGGGAGAGAAAGGAGGTTAGAGGGGGAAAAAAGGATTTAGGCTTTAGTCTGTTTTAATCTATATGATGGAGTCTTACTAAGTAGGTCCTGTTTTGGGGGAATTGGAATTTTCCCCCCAAATTTGGAAACTATCACTGATTCTGAGGCCAATTTTGAAGAACAGACATTTGTAGTACTTGTTTATATTGTACTTATTTATTGTCCCATATCCATAAAAATGACAAGTCATTTTACTTACTCATACCTCCTTTCCAACACTGGTAAAATGAGAGTGATTATCCTATCCTATCCCCAGGGAGTTGAGATAAGAAAATAAACTAATTCATGTGACTTTACATTGTGCTACACACATGTATTATTATAAGGGCATTCATATCTTAAGATTGCATATTCATTCATTCGTTGTTCAGCAGACTTTTTTGAACACCTTCTTGATGCTGAACACAGATAGAGATAAAAAGTGTAGTTCTTACCTTTAAGGAATTTAAAATATTGTGAGGGAGACAGACAATAATAATAAATATGTCTCGTACATCTATTGTCTTTAGCATGTGCCAGGCCCTGTTCCAAGCACCTTGATGTATATGAGCTCATGTTGTCTTTCTACAACCCTATGAAATGGGTACTATTATTAGCTTCATATTATAAGGAAATTGAGGCGCTGAGAGGCTAAGTGACTTGCCTAAGGTCACACAGATCTGGTGGTAGATTTGGGACTTGAATCCAGGCAGTGTGGCTTTAGTCTATGCTTTAAATCTGTGCTGACCAGTACAGTAGTCACTAGCCATAGATGGCTTTGGTGCACTTGAAATGTGGTAAGTCCAAATTGAATTTTAAGTGTGAAATACACACTAGATTTCAAAGACCTAGTATGAAAAAAATGTATAAAATACTTCATGTTGAAATTACATGTTGCAATGATAATATTTTAGATATACTGAGTTAAGTAAAATGTATTCAGATTAATTTCCTTTTATTTTTGTGGCTACTCAAAAACTTAAAATTATATATGTGGCTTGCATTTGTGGCTTACATTATATTTCTGTTGGATTTTGCTAGTCTAAATCATTATAGTGCAGTAATAACAACAACAATATAATAGGTGACATTTATTGAGCACTTACTGTGTGCCACATAGTGTGCTAACGCCTTTACAAACAGCATTTCAATTAAGCTTCAAAATAACCCTTTTTATAATCCCCATTTTATCGAAGAGGGAGAAGTTTTCAAGAAAGTCAATATTTGCCTGAGGTTAGTCAACTCGTTAATGCCGACCCCAAATTTGAAACCTTATATTTCTGACTCAAAAACCTGTATTCAACTGAATACACTGAAATACCATTTCCAATTAGGGTTAAATCTTGGGGAATTTTCTTTGTTTTTATTTTTGTGAGAATATTTAATATTGCATACTTCTGTATTTGTGATGTAGAAGTTTAAAATAAAAATCACTTGGTCATAAAATAGACATCCCAGATAGAAATCTCTTTTGCAAAGCCTCAGCCCTCTGTGAATACTGGTGCAGTTGAGCCCTGAGATGAAGCAGTGAGTCAGCCTGTACAGATTGCATTTAATTTTCGTTCCAATTGTTCTCTCAGGTCACTGGGCAATTTATGTCCTGACCCTCTTTGTCCATAGAGAAGAGGAAGAGGGGCAACACATCTTTTCTTAGTCGTTTAGTCCTCTCGGCTGATAAGAAGAAATTGCCTTCCGTTTCATTGTCCCATGAAATGCTGTTTGTGTTCGAGAGAGCAACAAAATGCTGTCTAATGACCCCTGACTTTTCTTTCTTCTAGAGCAAAGATTCAGGCGGACTGAAGGCGGCTATGATAGAGTTGGTGGAAAGGTTAAAGTTCAAGAGCTCAGACCCTAAAGTAAGTATTGTTTTGGAATTAATTGGATATTGGTATCCCAAGTATTTCATTCTCCTTGAGCTAAATTTGAGGGATGTTAATGACGATCTGTCTGAACATTGCATCAAGATCTAATTAAGCCTACCCATCAAAAGCAGTGTTCTGACATGCCTGAAGATAAGTCATCTATTTTTCCCCTTCTCTGTTTTATGATTTACAACACATAATCGTTCATTGTTTTCTCTGAACTGCAGACAAGTGCATTTTTAATCTTCTTTTACCGGGCCTTCGAGACTACTGGCCTCTGTGTCCATTAAATCCAACCAAAGGCATCAGAGATACCATCAGCTTAATGCTGGGGACTGGAACAAGCTCAGGCCTATCCAGTTGGTGTTCAGTACTAGCGTCTTGTCACTCCCCCACTTAATGGGAGCCAGCTGCCACTGTGAATACTTTTGTCCTCATGACCTGGAGTCTGGTCTGGGAAATGGTTTAAGCTTCCCAGCTTTCTCTGCAAGATGTTGGGGGCTGTAGGATTGATATTCTGGGAGATGCCATACCAGGGTTGTGGGTGGACTGGGAACTGAACGTGCCGGAGGGATTATGACTAATGTAGCCTCCCTTCTCCTACTCAGACGTTTGCTGTGGCACTACCCGGTACTGGTGCCAGCTGGCTTTGCCTGAGAGTCAGAGCCTTTCACAATTAAATAGGGAAAGGAGCGTGATTTTATTTGGCTTTTTATACTGTCTTTTTTTTAATTAAAAAATTTTATAAGGGGAATAAGACTAGCATTCCTTGAGCACCTAATAAGAGCCGGGCACTGTGCTAGGAACCTTACATACCTTTTAAAAAAATTGTGGTAAAATATACATAATGAAATTTCCCATTTGAACCACTTTTAATTGTGCAGCTCAGCAGCCTTAAGCACATTCACATTGTTGTGCAGCATCACTACCATCCATCTCCAGAACGCTTTCCATCATCCCAAACTGAAACTGCATCCATTAAGCACTAACTTGTTATTCTCCCTCTCCTCTTACACACTTGTGATCATTGCAATAACCTTGTAAATTAGCTTTTATTTCCCATTTTATTGATAAGAACACATTGGGGTAACTTTTGTCAATTTTCTTAGCTCAAAGTAGAAAGACCCCCCTCCCCCCAAACCACTTATATGAAAGTAGTTTTCCTTTAGTAAAGATGAACCAATTAATTATTAAAGATAACAGAAAGCTTTTTTTACCGAGTTTCTCTGGTTTCTGGGACAACAGCTATCCTGAAGGAGACAACTGTATTTCCTCTTTCTGCCACACCCACATGCTTATAGACATTGAAGAGCAAGAGAATGTGTACAGATTACACTGAGTGGCTTCTGTGCATGATGATAATACAGGTAAAGTGCTTTGGGAACCTTTATGAATGCATATAGTGCTTCTGATGGGAAACTTGCCAGAGCTGAAAGAATTGAGTAGTCCCCATGAGAGCAACCCGTGGAAGCCTCAGGATTTTCCTACGATGCATCATAAGCTAAAGGATATTTGTTAGGACCTCACTTGATCTTGGATATGTTTATACACACTCACCTTTCTTTCATCTTCTCTTTGTCTCGCCCTGGATAATTTCCCACCAGTCTATTTTATTTTCAAGCCGCTTTCTAGCCTAACATATGTGTACGCCATTTTTACCTGGAGCCATCTTGAAGAAGGACCATCATAATTGCAGGATGACTGTTAGATCACAAATAGGGGATGAAAAATGGGGCACTTAAATACATAATTTCTGCAACAAAGAAAATTTTTCCAGAAACAAATTGGTGTCTTCCAAAAGAACTCATTAAGTTTTTAGTCTGTTCTGTTTTCCCTCCAAACCCCACCATCCTTTTTTTAAGTTGGCTTATTGAAGAAGAGCAGAATCTCCTATAGGCTTTATGACCTGTCATTTTCTGGCACAGCAGCTTTACATAGAAGCACTGACTGAGTCATGGAGCACCGAACGCTCTCTCTGCCTCACTTCCTCTAGAATTCCCTAAAGCCTCACAAAGCCTGATTAGTCCAGACACTGAGGTCTGCTGGGGACTGAGTTAATTTTTACCTCTCAGTTTTGCCAGAGAGGAGTGGAAGATGCCTAGGTTAACCTTTTATTAAATTATAAAATAATATATGCTTATAGATTAAAAATACAGCTCTCCATAAAATACAGCTATCCGTAAAGGAAAAATAAAAAAATACAGCTATAAATAAAAATAATAAAAAATAATAAATAATAAAAAAATACAGCTATCCATAAAGGAAAAGGAAAATGGATTTCCCTTAAATTAACAGCTTAGTGTGTAACCTCCTAGACATTTTTTCACGTGGAAATACGCTTCTAAGATATTTTACAAAAATTATACCATAGCTGTGGTTTTATGACACAGAGTATCTTAAACATTCTTCTGTGTCAGTAATATAGACTTCTTAAATGAGATGCCTCATTTTGTCCAAAATATTTGTCAGACATCCTCTTTTCTTCAGAGCAGTGGTTCTTAAACTTCAGTGTTCATGAAAATCGCCTGGAGGACTTACTAAAATACAGAGTGCTGGACCCACCCCCAGAGTTTCTGATTCAGTGTGTCTGGGGGAACTAGAAACTGTGCTGGACCTTGGTTACTTTCCTGCCATCTTGTGTTTTGGTTTTCTTCGTTCTTTCAGCAAATAGCCAGAAGAGCCCTTGTAAGTCCAAATGATTTCAACCTTGAAAAAAATGAAATACATAAAATTCCAGGCTTAGAAAACAAATAAATTGAGCTGAGGGAGCAAAGGAGTAAGAGAGGGGAAGGGAGGTAAGCTGAGTCTTCAGCTCGGGCTCCCTGAGAGGACAGGGTTCCTTTAAACAGCTATGGCCAACACCTGAGAGGACAGGGTTCCTTTAAACAGCTATGGCCAACAGAGAAGTAGCAAAGCCAAAAAAAGGGGAAGGAGTCCTGGTCAGGAATTAGGAGGATGATCAAGGCCATCGCCATGGTCCAGGAGTGGGCTGAGTTCTCAAACCAGAGGAACAGCAGGAGACATCAAATCCCAGCTGCTAAGGGTGAGCCCAAGGACGGGTATGAGAGCCAGAGATGGTTGGTAAATAAGGCACAGGTCCAGATGAAGTGGTGTGCGTGCATGTTGCTGTGGTGAGCCCTGTTTTAAAGGGGGCAGACCTCCAGGGATCCAGAACTTGTATACAGTGGAAAGAAATTATTTTTAATAACAGTCTTTATTTTGTTTAATTGGAAGTGGTCTATTAAATAATCCTAATGCGTTTGACTTGATCCAGTTTGCACACATTTTTTTGCAGCCAAACTTTTCAGAAACATCTGTTGCACAAAGCAGCATTTTAGTCGCTAGATTTCTTATATTTATGCTAGACTTTGGGGAAATTAAAAGATGTAGTTAATCAGAGGTATGTATGTGTGTATATGTCTGGACTAGATTTTTAGGAAATTTAAAGCATCTGAGTTCTTTACAGCCTTCCTTTGTAGTGACTATGCAATTATCTTTCATAGTTTACCCAGAGGAAACTGAAACTTAGAAAACACATTGATTCCTTCCTTTCCTCCCCCATGCTCAGTCTCCCAGAAAGTATTGAACTAAAGTATAAGATGCTAAGCTCAATCTAACTAACCTCTCATTATTCAGTAAATAATAGCTATTTTCTCTATGATATATTGATTGCTTTTCTTTCCATGTAAGGTGCACCATTCACTGTTTCCTATAGCTGATGTGTGCTTGAAACAAACAGTTTAAACCATGTTTGTGTATCTCAAATTCATACTAATTTAATAAGTTATTCTCAAAAAAGCATCTTTTTTTTTTTTTTTTTGGGGGGGGGTACACAGGCCTCTCACTGTTCTGGCCTCTCCCATTGTGGAGCACAGGCTCCGGACGTGCAGGCCCAGCGGCCATGGCTCACGGGCCCAGCCGCTCCACGGCATGTGGGATCTTCCTGGACCGGGGCATGAACCCGTGTCCCCTGCACCTTAAACTCGAGCCAAGTGGTTCACATTATTCTCTGTGACTGGAGTGGGATTAAACATAGGATCTAATCATACTAAGATTGTCTAAAATATAATCAGGTTCTTTTCCTTATTTTTTTCGATCTCTGCAGGTATTCTTACTGAAATATGAAACGAAAGAATTGTCTAGCAACATGAAATTAGTTAAATAGAACTGAGGATTGTTTTCTTATTTTATTTTTATTTAGCATTTACAGAGCATTTTATAATTGCAAGAGGACCTTACAGACCTTTCTAATAGCTGATATCACTGACTTGGAACATAGCCCAGTCCTCCACTCCAGTGCTAATCAGACTATTGTTAAAATGATAGGTTTTGCATGTTCAAATAGTAATGGATATGAGCAAAACCTAACTTGAATTCTTGGTGTTAGTGTCCTGTTATTCACCTGGGTTAAGTCAGGCCTTGTGCTGGTCCTTGTCCTGCCGCAAGATAGAAGTATTCACTGGGGCAGTATTTATTCATCCATCTAAAGGAGAGAATTGAGATGCCTCAGTTATGAAGTTGGTTCATTCAAAAGTGTTTCTTTGGTTGGAAGGTTATTAGAATTACTGACCTATTTCTTTTCATTTATTTATTTATTTATTTGGCTGCATCAGGTCTTCATTGCGGCATGTGGGATCTTTCATTGCAGCACTCGTTGCGGCACTCGTTGTGGCACTTGTTGCGGTGTGTGGGCTTCTCTCTAATTGTGGTGTGCAGCTTTTCTCTAGTTGTGGCGCGGGCTCCAGAGTGCGTGGGCTCTGTAGTTTGTGGCAGGTGGGTTCTCTAGTTGAGGCGCGTGAGCTCAGTAGTTGTGGCGCATGGGCTTAGTTGCCCAACCAGGGATCAAACCCGCGTCCCCTGCATTGGAAGGAGGATTCTTTACCACTGGATCACCAGGGAAGTCCCTGTTGACCTATTTCTTCACTTCACGTAAAAAAGAAGTAATCTTGGAAGACATGAATTTTGCTTATCTCTGTACCCTCAAGCCCTACTAG